CTTAACTTAGTGGAATGAGAGGAGAAACAGTTTGTGCTATCACCTTACTATAATGAGACTAAGACAGTGACTTTAGGGAAGAATACAGATTTAAGTGACTCTGGAGCTCCACCAGTTTCCAACTAGATTAAAAGACAGAACTTGAACTACCAGTAGCAGCCTTGGAGATTCATTCAGTGCAAGAATGTAATGAAGACATGACAGGTCCAAGTAGAAGACACTGGTAAACGAAGAAAGGAGAGCGATTTTGAGGGATGCAGTTCTTGTTTTGCTTGATACTCCTTCTCTGTGCAAATACCTTGAGCTGATACATTCTTATCACAGTTCAATAAACAGGTATAAAACAGAAAGCAGTATTTTATTTGCTTCACCTGAGTGAGTTCTGATGAGTTTTACTGGCAGTGAGAACATGGATGACAAACTGAACCACGGAGATCCCTGGAACATCATCTGCTACTGCAGGACTTCAGATAGATGTTGTGTTTGGGCGCTTCTCAGGCCAGGCTGATGAGTTTGGCAGCCAAGATACATGGCAGCAATTGATATCTGGCACATATACTTAAAAAGAAGGGGGGAAAAAACCAACCACATTTGAATGTGTTTTGTGGTGGTAAAAGGTGTTTCCAGCACACTGCACTTGCAAATACCCATCATAGAGTAGGTGAGGGGGCTGGGGGGGATGAAGGGAATGGAGCCCTCATGTGGTGCATCAGTCACACTCACAAGAAGGTGCTCTCTGGAAAACTTCTGTGCCAACACAGTGTACAGATCAGGCACCAGACCTGAGTCTATCAGTAAGGCATGGGGAGAAATAAATAAGTTTAAGGAAGTCAGGTGTGAAAACATAGAGCTGATTGTCAGAGTTCTGGGAAAACCAGCCGAGACAAATGGGATCTGTGACTGCTCAGTGTGTCAGAAAATCAGCTGGAAGGCTGCAAAGAATGGTGGCACGCAGGCACTGGAGGGCTTTCGCAAGACAATAAAGCTTGTTTCATAAAGTTGCAAAATCATGGAAAACAAAAACTGCAGGGGAAAATCTCTTTAGTCTTCTTTTTTTTTTTTTTTAATTTGGGGAAGAGAATAAAGTTGGTTTGTGAAATAGGGAGTAAGCTATCTTACAAGTGATGGAACAGGCACATTTTTCCCTTGGATCTTAGTCCTCAACTCCCCAGTCCCCCAAACCCAGGACTGCTGAGTCTCATCCCCACCAGACAAAGAATGGAATGGTGCCACCAGCCTGGCAGTGCTGGTAGCCTAACCAGGAGAGACTTTTGTGTTTTTTCTTTTACAGGTTTTATTTGAATTGGGCACAGATTCAAAAGGCACTGTGCCACAGTGGTTGCACAGTGTGCTTACATAAAGCTCATTTCATCAGATGTCCAAGGTGACTGCTACAAACCACCTGCATGATGCATCTGGCCACACAGGTCCTGAGGTGCACTGGGTGACCAAAGATGTCCCAGCCCATCCTTGGCTCACCTCAATAATTCCAAACACATGCATTCATGGGATGAGCATGGTGACAGCCCCGTGAATGGGATCAGAGGGATGCTTGCTTAGTTAGCATGCTGCTTCTTTCTACTGGATGTACTCTTCACCACACCCAACAGTTTCAGCTCTCTGGTCTTCCCATCCTCCTCAGAGCAAGAAGTCATAAAATGCAGCTTATTCAAGCCACTTAAGAACAAATAAAAGTATCATAATCTTCCTCTTCATGCTTTGCAGGCAAGCATATATTGTCGGTAGAAATACTGCCAAACTTCTTGTTTAAATATAGAAGCAGTGCTTATTTGCACTGTTAACACTCCCCATGAGGACAAGCTTTTCTTCCATAAGGACATTGTTTACGATTAAGACAAGGGCTGGCTACTTTGCCATTAAAATTCTGTGCCAGTCCAGTGCTGACAATATTGAAGCTTTGCTAAATGTGTATACATGCAAGTTCATTAAATGGATGCTGACTGTTGCTACACAAGTACAGCAGCTGAGTGCTTTCTGTATTAACCTTATCACCTGATGGGCAAAAGAAAAGGTTTAACTAAAGCTTAGGACTAATTGAACAGTATTCCAGTATTTTCTTATGTAAAACTGGTTCTGGTCTATTGTTTTTATTTATTTGCAATAACTGTGCTCATTCAAGTTTGTAATGACACTGCCATGGGTGAAGAGAATTTGCTTTAAGTATTATTCTCCCTTTTCCTATCTCCTGCCTCCTCTAAACTGTGTCTCTCAGGAGTAAATTTGCAACAGAGCCCGGTACAAAGGCAGCTCTCTAAGTACACAGCCATTTTTGGAGATATGTTCTCAAGCTGTGTTTTTAAATTACTTCAGAAGTTCCTGTTTATTTTCTCAGCCTGCCTTGGGTATTTCCTGTCAGGCTGAGCGAAGCACGAAGCAGGAGATAGGAGCACTAAGCCTCCCGTGGAAAGGCAGCAGGCGTCTTACAGCAGCACCCAGCACACACACTGTGCAAACCAACCAGCACTTTCTGTGCTTGCTTACCACTAGAGTATGCTCTCGTGCTACAAGTTCCAGCTATTATTTTTTTTTCAATAAATCGATGTGTGTAGCACAAGCCATCTTTCCAAAGCTTTCCACTTCCCCTGGTGCTTCCTTTTTCCTAAGGAATATATATATTTATATGTATATTTATATTTAGTTATTGCTGCTGAGCCCATTCTCAGGGCTTTGAGAAAGGGCAGAGTGTTTTCTGGGGTGAGGTGACCGATTTGGGTTTGGTCGACTCTCAACTATCAGAGCACACATGAAAATAGTTGAAAACATCTTCCTGGCTCACATTACGTAGAAGGAAGGGGAAAAAAAAGAGGGTATGCAATCCGTCTTCATCTTGGTCACCCCTCTGGGTTATGCCTGGTGAAGAAGTGGAAGTCAAACCTCATGAATTAATAGAGTTCTGCTTACAGGAGAAAAATGTAAATGCACTCTCCAAAGCGTTTGTGCCAACATAAAGTGGGTTTGTAATCCTGGCCTTTGAAATGGTGCTAGTTATTCAGTAAGAGAAAAGCTGTTGTGAGCCTGCCCTACCATATTAGAGCAAAGTAGTTTGCCACTAAAAGTTCCAGTTTCTGCATGACAAAGATATAAAACAACTTGCAGGACAATTAAAGAATAGTTTGTCCTTACCATATTATTACCAGCCATTCTTCCACATTTCGATATCCGCGTTCAAATTGCTACCACCCCCATCAATATAATTGTAATCAGTCACAGTTTGCATTGTCTCTGGGTGCCTTTTCCAAGTTAAATACAAAGAAAGAAAAATAGGGCAAAGAAAAAAGCCACGCTTTGGATAAAGAGCCTCGCCACCAGCCTGCTTTCACACATAGACTGCACACTTTGCTGCTAACATTACATTTTAGCAGCCCCAACGGGTACAGGAACAATGACCCCTCTCATTACCATAGTGACAATGGCTGGTGAAAGATTGCAACGTATCTTTTTCTTCTCCCCAATGAACCTCAGCCAATAACGCTAAGAACCTGCCAGCAAGTGGAGTGCATTGGAGCTTGCTTGGTCACCACAGAGCCCAGCAGTTGTGTTCTGATGGAAAGCAGCCATGCGGGCCGGCCTCGCTCTGCTGGCAGCAGTACCCTGAGCTACCAGATTAACTTCTAGGTGGGTCACGCTGCTGTTTTCTAGCAATCTCATAGCATCATTGAATCATTCAGGTTGGAAAAGACCTCCAACATCCCCAAGTCCAACTCCAACCCATCCTCACCAACTGTGTCCCTCAGTGCCACATCTCCACTGTTCTTGAACAGGGACAGTGACCCCATCACACTCTGGGCAGCTGTGCCACTGCATCACTGCTCTTCCTGAGAAGGAATGCTTCCTAATATCCAACCTGAACCTCCCCTGGCACAATGTGAGGCCATCACCTTTTGTCCTATCACTGTTACAAAGGAGAAAAGACCAAATCATCACAATCTCCTGTCAGGGAGCTGGAGAGAGCAGTGAGGGCTCCCCTGAGCCTCCTGTTCTCCACACTGACCCACGCAGCTCCCTCAGCCGTGTCCTCAGAGCCCTCCCAGCTCCATTCCCCTCCCTGAACACACTCCAGGGCCTCAGTGTCCTGGTAGTGGAGGGCCCTACACTGAACACAGCACCTGAAGTGTGGCCTCACAGTGCTGAGTACAGAGGATGCCATTGGCCTCCTGTGCCACCTGGGCACATTCCTGGCTCACATTCAGCCAGCTTTTGGCCAACATCCCCAGCTCCATTCCTTCCTCACAGCCTTCCAGCCACTCTGCCCCAAGCCTGTAGCGCTGCCTGCGGTTGCTGTGGCCACAGAGCAGAACCCGGCACTTGGTCCTGTTGAACTTCGTCCCATTGCTCTGAGCCCATCAATGCAGCCTGCCCAGGTCTCTGTGCAGGGCCATCTATGCACCATCACCTTCAAACCCGCCTCTCAATAGAGACTTGCCCGATTCTACTCAAGCCATAAACCTTTATTGTTTTTGTCTATAGACTCTTCTCACAGAGCCAAGCTGGCTTCTCACTCTGGTTTTACGCCAGTTTGAAGAGGAAGCGCTCACTGAGCTTGTATTTAAAACTTAAGGGCCGGTGTTGGCGCAGTGGCAGCACATAGAGGCTCTGCCCCTGCACGGCCCCGTGCTCAGGTCCGGCTCTGCGACCTGGGCAGCCCGCCCCGATCCCACCGGCTCCGCTGAGCTCTGCCCCCCTTCCCCGCTGTGGTCCCGCCCTGCAGCGCGCCTTGCGCGGCTCCTCCGCCCCGCCCTCCCGGCTGTACCAAGTCCTTTGGGGGGGTGGTGATACAGAACGAGTGCTCGAGGCCTTGCTGCGTCGCTTTACCATTACGACGGCATCCTTTCGTTCTCTATCCCTATATAATTAACGGCGGCTCCCAGGAGGCTGTTTGGAGGGAGAAGAGGGGAAGGAAAGCATGACGAATCGCTCCCTTTCCCCCCTCAGTTGGCTCTGCAGTGGTGCGCTCCACCCGAAACCGGAAGCGGCCGCACATGGGCGCGGGGAGCGGGAGTGATGTGGCCGCTGCGGCCGCTGCCGGGGCTGTGTGTGCTGCTGTTGCGGCCGTGTATGTGGGCACCCTGCCGCCCGGCCTGCCCGGCGGGGACGCGGGTAACGTACCCAGCACCCACCGCGGGGCAGGGACCGGGGCCGGGGGGCCGCGCTTGGGTCGGACCGGGGGTTGGCTTTGGGGTGGTGGCACCGGCGGGAAGTCCGAGCTGTGTGGTTGCTGTCACCCCCGTAGGGATGTTTGCCCTGTAGGGGCTGGTGCATTCCTGCCCCACAACAGTGCCTCTTGCCGTATAGGTGCCATGCGTCGCAGGCATCCTGTAGGGTCTTGTGTATCGCAGTTATCCTATAAGTGTCATTGGTCTCAGGCTGGAACAGACCTTAAAGATCACTTAGTTCCATGCTGTGTGGGGGCTGATCATCCTATAGGAGTGCCACAGTGTACTGGAGTTATCTAGAAGGATTGCGCACCTGATAGGGGTTGGTGTGTTACTGCCATCCCATAGGAATGCTCATCCTATAGAGGCTGTTGCACTGCTGTCACCCCATAAAGATGTTCATGTTAAGGGGCTGTTGCTTACAGTCCCCTGTTACGGTATAGTGCTGCTAACCCACAGGGCTTGGGGCCTTGCAGCCATCCTCTCCATCCAGGGGTTCGTCTCTGGGGCTCAGCGCATCATAGCCACCTCCTAGGCTTCATCAGCTCCATGGGATCCAGTTGCCCTGCAGTGCTCAGAAATCTCTGCCTTGCACCTGTCTGACAGTTTGTGTCTTGCTTTACTGACCTGAGCAGAAGGAAGAAAGTTCCCCTGTTGGCTTCTGCAGTTGTGTGAATTTAGTGTCATTTTGTGTAAAATACACAAACAAACTACTTAGTTTCTGCATGTGGTTGTGGTTGTGGTTGGGATGTTTTAGGAACTCTGATGTTTTGGTCACAGAACAAGAACACTGATGTGCTTTCCTTCTGTTGTATGGCAAAGAAGAGTTGAATGAGTGTTAAACTCCAGCCAAACTCTGGTTTCAGATCCATACCGTACATTAAAAAAAAAATGGGGTATTCAAGTAAGGGCTTTTGGGCTTGCAGATTGTGGGGTTTTATGTTTTCAAGCTTGTACATTCAGATGGGTCTGATTGCACTTTGGTGCTTTTCATCTCCCTGCACCCCTGTGTGAGATCAGAGGGACTCTTGTGCTGTGAGCTGCCAAGTGTTAAAAGAATTTATTTCTAAATGTTTTCTTGCATCCTACAGTCCACAGGTGAGGTGTGTGAGGCTAGCTCCAAAGCTTTTAGAAGGGTTTAGCTCCACTTCATATACAGTGATCAATAGGTATGCAGCTACTGTTGTTTTTCCACGGAAACACTCCCTCATGATAAATGAACACATGTTGAAGCATGCAGTGTCTTCACTTGGAGCTGTTAGCTCTGATCTAAACCCCACTAGCATGGGTTTTAGTTGTGCCTGAGCTTGTGTTTTGCCTCAGCATGCGGGTAACCAGTGCAGGCACACAGAGGAGTGCAGGCCAGACCCACCCTTCCCTGCCCCATCACCTTCCTCTCCTTCTTCCCCTGTTTTTTTTCTGTTTTCTTCCAAACCTGCTGCTTGGATTGAATGCATTCACCAGAGCTGAACACCGAATTGCTAAGATTGGGAAAGACCACTAAGATCATCTAGTCCAACCATCAGAGACGGCCTCATCCCAGCTGCCTTTTTGGGCTTTTCCCTGCCAGCAGCCACACCACCAAATGGTAAAATGGCTTTTTGGGGTTGTTCCCTTCATTTGTCATGGAGAACAGCCTGCTGCAGCCCTGACTGTGGTCTCTGGGAGCTCTGTGTGGTGTTGCTGAACTCGATGGGCTCACGCCTGTGCCATCAAAATTACTGAAGCTACTTGTGTGAGTAAAGAGGTGCTTAAGGATTTGCTGTATCTGCTTTGAGGCAGGGAGCCTATTCTTATTCTTTTTAAGTGATCTGTATATTTTTAATTGTTCCTGAAGCTTGCAGTAATCCTGGAGTGTAAAAGGCAATAGATGTTTTCATTGGCAGCTTTCTTGTGTTACTTAGCGTTACAAGAAAGAAACAAGAGAATGAGTTTTAGAGCTCATTGGGATACATCCACAGATGTTAAAACTGCATAAAAACGGATCAAATAAACTCAAGTCAAAAAAAAAAAAAAAAAAAAAGTTTCATTCTGATGTTTCAGACACTGGTTCCAACCCTTGCTGGAGATAAGTCAGTTTTCAGGCATTGCCTGACTGCCTTTACTGGGGTTGGGACCTTTGCTGCCTTTGTGGCTGTGCTGCTTTGGAGTTGCTTCTATGCATGGTGCAAACTGACATCACCACAACGCATGGGAGCTCAGTGAGTGCAGTGTTGAGTTGGATATGAGGAAATACTTCTTCTCAAAAAGGGTGGTCTGACGATCAACCTGTCCACCATACCCACTGCCCCGTGTCCCTCAGGGCCACGTCTCCACAGTTCTTAACACCTGCGGGGATGGTGATCCCACTGCTCCCTGGGCAGCTGTGCCACTGCATCACTTCTCTTTTGGAGAAGTTTATCCTACAGCACCCTTCATTTTGCATTTCTGCCATCCAGTGATGGGATGGAGCTGCCTCAAACTTGGCACTTCCAAGACAGCAGTAAGATGAGGTTCTGTTTCCAAAAATGGCAATTTGAGGAGAGGGGAGAGGAAAATTTCTCTTGGGCGTAGCTGGGATAGCAAATGTTGCATAATGATTCAGTGAAATAGCATAGAAATGGTATAGAATCACGTGGAACTGATATAGGGAGAGCACTGCCTATGGCAGGGGGTTGGCATGGATGATCTCTACGGCCTCTTCCAACCCAAACCTATGCTATTTCATAGAATCATGTAGAAATAATATCTTATAGAAACATCACATAGAAATATCATAGAATTGCATAAAATTATCACAGAATCACGTCGAAAATCATAGAATCAATGCCTCAAGTGTCGTAATACTTAATTTTGTTGCCTCGTTGGTGAGCCCATGGTGCTCATGTGCACAGGCTGGATTTAATGCATGCAGTTCAACAGCACTGCAGCTCCAAGTGCTCTAAAAGTGCCAAAGATTCTCTGCTGCTATGCTAACGTGGATGGTTCTGTGACAGTCATTCACCCCAGCATCGACTACAAATGTAATGCAAAATCTTGGTGCTGTTGTGTAACAGGAGCAGCCGCTGAGCGCATAACCCTGACAGGTAAAGGGGCTACTAGCAAAGCTGCAGGGATTGCTTTAGCACTGAGGTTGCAGATTTGCAAGCAGAGTGATTGCATTTAACCCCCTTTGAAACACAAGCCATGTGTTCTGCTGTTTCCTTGCTTATTGCTGTGGGTTTTTTTTAGTGAGAAACACCCAATTTGTTAAGAGGCAGCACAACGTAAGCACTGAGAGTTGTCGAATCCATGGGTTTTAAATTAAAAATACACTGATGCATGCAGATGTCTGCAGCTGGGATGTCTGAGGCCGCGCTGTAACCGAGCACACCTATGCTTTCCCTTATCTGTTCATAAAAGTCGTGCGGAAACATACAAAAGATATTTTGTGCCATGACATCAGAGGGAGAAAATATTCTTAGAAAATTTCATGCTGTTAAATCTCTACAGATTTACAGTTTTATCCAGTCAAATTAATGCAAAACCCCAATGCAAGCATTTGGATTTTGAAAACTTTGGAGGAGTGTCATTTCCTAATAGTAATTATTGGTTTTACATTATTTTTTCACAGGGGAGCTGATCACAGCCGCATATGAGCTTGGAGTAAGTATTAGTTTTATTGTTTAATCAATGCTCTCATTAACAGTTTTAGGAATTAAGGAAGTTTAATTAAGCATGGAGTAAAGTAGATTAATTTATTTTCAAACCACAGTTTTTACTAACTTATAAGTACAGCACGCGACAATTTACTTCAAGTTTTAAATCCAATTAAACTAAATTATAAAGCAAAGGCTTTACTGTATATACAGTAGCTGGCTTATTATCAACCCAAATTTTGTATAAGCTGGGGAGAATAAAATAAATCGGGTTAACAATTTTAATAAGTTTTATTATTTAATAAACTTTATTATGGTGCATGATCCCTTTAGGCAAGACCTTAGGACTGTCAGCGCGGTGGTAATCCGATAGCAGTGTGGTCTTTCAACTTGCTACCCAATAAAATAGTTGAGAATCTGCTTTAAAGAAAAAAAAAACAACAACAACAACAAAAAAGCCCCAGCCTTTTGAATGACCCTAATATACTGTGAACCCAAACAACAAGCAGTTTGAGGCGCGATAATGCGACGTGTCACCTCTTTTCTCCGCCGCTCATTAACGCGGGTGACGCCTGCCGCCAAATCCACTAAGGGGGAAAATATTTGCAGAGTGAAAAATTGGCACCAAACCTAAAAGCATTCAGCAGAGGGGAAAAAAAAAAACAGCTGGGATGCCGGGGCACCAGGATGCCAGGGTACTGGGATACCTGGGTACCGAGATGCTGGGTGCTGGGATGCTGGGATGCGGTGCTTGGATTGGGAAGCTGCAGTCCTCTTGCTGAGCCCATCCCTCTGTCTGCAGGTTGCCCATCCGCCCGGCTACCCGCTGTTCACGCTGCTGGCTGGGCTGGCCATGAGGCTGCTGCCCAGCGGGGCCGCTGCGGGCCGTGTCAACCTGCTGTGTGCTGTGCTGGGAGCTGCAGCAGCCGCGCTGCTCTTCTACACCGTGCTCAGGTACGGGGCTGAGCCCCCCCGACAGGCAGCTCCTGGCTGGGATTAGTTCCTCGGGGTGAAAGGAGTAGTGGTTTAATCTGAATTTGACCTTCTTTCTTGCACAAAAGCTTGCTCTCTCTGTATTATTATTTTTTTTAATAGTAATGATAAGAAAAAGTATGCCCTTTCCCTTGACAAAGAGGTGACAGGCTGTTGGGGCTCATTATCGCAAATCAGCGAGCGCTCTAACTAAGCAGAACTAATGAAGTTTGTCGTTCTTGGAAGATGCAGATGGTCAGTTTGAATTAACAAGATGAGCTTCACCTGTGGCTAAAGCAAGAGCTGGGTTTAATCACAGCTCCCAGCAGAGGCAGCTACCTGTGTCCCTTACCCACCATCGTCTCTGCATCCCGCACCCTGCCCATGGGAGGTGTGCGGTCCTGGGATGCGCTCGCCCCGACCGCCTTTGATGTGCAAGTTCTCTCTGCACTTAACCTCTGCCTGACCCAGATTGGAGAGGATTACTGCAACCCCGACAAACAATTTCTAATGTTCTTTGACGGGGAAAATAGGGCACGTTTCTAGGCTGCGGATGGCAGTGAAATCTGAAATGGTATCAGGGCTGGGGATGCAGTCCTCAAGCACCCTGTTTTGTCCTTTGATTTTTTTGAGAAAAGCTGTTTTCTAACCCAGCTCACAGCACCCTGCCACTCCCAGGAAGCCTCAGAATATAAGCAGGAATAAATGGGACTGGATCCTATGCAGCTCTAAAACGTGGGTGGGAGCAAAAACTGTCTGTGGTTCTGTCAGGGTGCTGTGCTGTGTCTTATGGAGTAGGATTGATTTCAGTGTTGGGTCAGATGTGTGATTGAGCCAGTGCCTTTTTATGTAGCATCCTGCATCGTAATGTGTGTTTGCTGAGGGTTGCCCTCCTGTGTGAGCCCATTTTCCAGTTACATTAAGAAGTCCTGCATGGAACTGCTCAATATTTTAGACTATGGAATCATAGGATATCCTAAGTTAGAAGAGAGCCGTAAGGATCACCAAGTCTGAATTCTTTAAGCATTGAATTCTACTTTTTATATTTTTAATTACAGTTGCTGCAATTATTGTAGAGATCTGCCCTGCTTTACAGTTCTAACTCAAATATGATTGTTCCCCGCATACCCCTTTTGTGTGTATGAAGGGATGCTGTCGCTGCTTCAGAGAAGCTGGAATGCAAAGGGGGAATGATGAGTGAAGTTTAGGAATTTCCTTTCTGCTTCTAGAGGTTTTAATCATGTTGTTGTTGTTTAACTGGGATAGGAAGGGGTTGCATCTGTCAAATGTGAAACTCGCATCGAGGGACGGAAAACTTAGAAGTGGGAGATGGTGGAAACTATCAGAGCTTGTGGAAAATTATTTCATAGATGTAAGGCAGTGAGTGACAGAATCAATTATTCAGCCTTGCGGTGATTGATTTTTGTAAGGTGCTGTGGGTCACTTTTATTTACAAATTACAATGTCGTGGTTTTCCCTGTAAGCACCTTAAAATCGATTATTATTTCTTAAGGTAAAAAAAAGTTCTTTCTCTCTTGCCACCTGCTTAAACCAAATAGAAGTCTTTCCGAAAGCGTTTGCTTGGCAGCGTCTGCTCCAAAGCCTCCGATATCTGCGTGTTTTGTTTTGAACTGGGATTGTGTGTCTTCACAAAAGCTTTAAACCAGGCTATCAAATCCTGCTGCATTTTTGTGTTTTAATTAAAATTGAGCTGACGGGGTGACCCCTGAAAGCCCTTCAGTACCAGAGGAAAAGCGAGCGGCCGCTCCTTCTGCCGTGCGAGCGCTGGGGACGTTAATATGAAAATATGTAGATGTTAGGAATACAAATAATTGATGAAGTACACATCCTTTGGGAGCAGCACGGTTCAAGTGGCAAATCTCTCTCGTCAAACAATAGACACCCTTCAGAAAGGAGGAAGCCATCTCTATGGTAATGGGGCTCACAGTGCCCTATTGATTGAGTGGAAGAAGACATTATACAATGTCACTTGGGCTGTTACAATTTCATTTGTCGTCTGACCTGAACTTAACCTCTAAAACCTTTCTTTTCTCCCCGCGAACCCACCAGCCTGGCGTGGTGCAGTTTGCCATCGCGCGGGGCGGGGAGGGGATCGCTCTGCGTTTCCCAGCCTCTGCCTACAGTACATCTGTTCCTTTTAGATCGTCCTCTCCTTTTTTGTCAGAGAAGGCATTTCCCGACTTTATCCACCGCCGGGTCGGGGTAATTTCTTTTCCTGCTTAACGCAAGGGTAACGATTTGGCATTATTTAGGGCGCCGCGGTGCGCGTAGGATTAGGACCAAACCGTGCTCGGTCCGTTCATAATTTAACCAGATTTCTCCTCTCTCAGGTGCTCACTGGCAGGATGCTCTGCAGGGCGATAGGAAGCAGCTCAGCCTTCTGATTGATTCATTGCTAAACGCAGAGATATGCCTCTCCCAACAAAGTTGCATCGGACCGGGCGGATGCAAAAAGCCCTTTTGTCAGTAATCCAGACTATTGCTGAATGAGCGTTTTGCTCCTTTGAATTACTTATCAAATATGTTTTTCCCCTCCGCGCAGTCTTAAGGAATCGCTTGTAATTATGGTAAAATGGCATTTACAAAGAATTTTCTTCGACTGCTTGTAACTGATGCAAATAATTCATCTTTGCTTTGAAAGACGGGGGAGCAGCATTATGTTTTTAGGACGCGGCGAGTGCGACTCTACGATTGTTTCCTTAAACAAATATTTATTTGTTTTACTGTGGGAGGCAAAGCATAGCAAGTTGACAAAGTAAACCAATTATGTTCTTATAATATGATTGCCAAAGTGTAATTTTCTGCACAGATGATGCGTTCTTTGCATTCTCTGTTATGAATAGAAATAGTGCGCTTTTCGTTGCTCTAAGTGCATTTTTCCTACCTTCCATAGCGTGGCTGTTTTGCTCTGCGCAGACATACGAAGCTGAACTATTGCAGATGCAATTGCAGAATAGAAGGTGTCCTTTCCACAGGAGTTCTTGCAATCATGTTGCACGCGAGCATTTGAAAAGGAGAAAAATGTTGTATTGAGCTGAGCAGCTTACTTCTCTTCGGCTGGTGTTCTGCGTATTGCATTAGTTTTGGGACTTCTTTTTATACATATTAGGAGAATATTATACCTATATATATATATGGACTTTTATACACGTAAGAAAAATGTATATGTACACGGACTTCTATTTATACATATAGGAATATATATATATATGCGCATATATGTGTATATAATAGACAGATGTGTCCCCCACCACTCTGCCAAGCAACAAGCTGTGGCTATGCATGAAGACTGAAGCCCGTTGCTTTCCCCGTGCTGACAGTGAGGACTGGTGCTGATGTGCACAGGGTATGGTAGAGGTGTTCTAAACTTGTTGTTCCGGCCCCTTTGAGATTCCTTGCTCCAGTGATGCTCCTGTGGGAAGGACCCATTGATGGACAAGGTGTGTGGGAGGATGTGGCCCTTTCCAGAGGTTGCTTATAGCTAAACGGAGGAAAAACAGAGTGTGGAAGACCCCCAAAATTGACATGTGCTCAAAAAATATGTTTACTGCGTGTACTGAGTGGGGAGATGCATCCTTTGGGTGTGCAAAGTGATGGGGCTCCCAGCAGCCTGACCCTTATTTTGGTCAGGGTATGAGAGCATCCTCGTGCTTCAGGCTTCAGATGTTTCAGGAAGGGGATTGTGGAGGGGGATTTGGATGCAGAGTGAGGGAGAAGAGCATGCTCTGGCAGCCATCGCTGCCCCATTGACTGTAGGCATGAGAAAAAGAGAACACCAAGCTTCACAGAGCAAGAAATCATCTATTAGGGCACATTTAGATATTCCAGATTACAGATTATTTTAGAGTATTGCCATTGTAGCCAAATACAGGTTGAAAAGCACACGTAACAAGTAAGTATTAGAGCGAAGAATGGAAAATACTTCAGTGTTGATTTGCTTTTAGGAGTCTACCTACTGTGACCTCTGACTAATTGATCACATATATTTTTTTTCCCCTGTGTAGCCATAATAAAGCGGCGTTGAGTTCGCTGTGAAGGCGTGAGCAAATCTGTTCATTTGCATTCGGTTCTGAAGTACGCACATTAGGCTGAAATAACTGCTTCGTTTGGAAGGGGGGGAAGAGAAAGCAGGGCAAAAAGAAGTCTTTTTTTTTTTTTTTTTTCCTTTTTTTTTTTTTTTTTTTAAAGACTGAAGAGTCTTTTCTGACAGCTAGTCAGAGTTAGAATTAGTTCAAGGAAATGTTAATAATGCACTGCCTGGCTTAATCCCTTTGATATCACCAGGTATCCTCCTGTTCATGGGTTAATTGCTTTAAAAGCGGAGGCAATATTCTGAGCGGTGGGCCGCTTCACCTTTTCACAGCTGTTACCATTGAGTGACAACTAAATCCCATGTGTAAGATGAGGAAGAGCTCAATCTCCAATTGGGAGAAAATTTATGTAAACCGCAATCCCTTCAGAATGTGCGGAAGTCACAGACTTTCTTGATTTACTCTGCTTTTCCCAGAAAGCTCTATTGTTCACTTCCCTAAGTCCCATCAACCCTTTGTAGCAGAATATCACAGCGGCAGCAGATAGCTTGAAATATATAAATGCTATCATAGCTCTGATTAATAGCGGCGCTTATGAGTCAAGTCTGATAACAGAGCAGCTCTCCACTCAATTTCAGATACCGCTAATGGAATCTGTCTCCTGCAATTGTAATGTGAGAAGGCCTAATTTGCCATGGAGCTTGGAGCTGTCACCAGCCGGGGATTGCGGGGTCAGATGGGAGCTGCCAGGTTTGTGCCCCGCAGCTTGTATCTCGCGCTTTGAATAGCACAGCCCCCTGCCTGCCAGGGAGCTGATAGCCCGCCGGGGGGTTTATGCCACCCCGCACAATAGCGGAGGGCTGCATGGGCTGACTTGGTAATTGTGAAGCCAGCTCCAGTATTTTATTTTTTTAATTTTTTTTATTTTTT